AAATAACGATCCATTGGGATCGAGATTTTTCTGTAAATAAAATCATGAGTGAATTGGTAAAAGTTCAATTGAGGCCTTACACTACTGTAAAATGATATTAAAATCTTTCAAAAATATCCAAGCTTTCGCCGATCTACGGCATCGTCAGGGATGATGATGCCGTAGATCGGCTAAAGCTTGGATTTTTAAAAGATTTTAATATCATTTCACAGTAGTGTAAGGCCTCAATTGAACTTTTACCAATTCATTCAAAATGCTACTGAAGGACAACATCCAACGATTATTAAAATCATGAGTGATGAACACAGAGTAAAATGCGGTAAACCTTTCGCTATATATAGACCCTTCACACTACATCCTTAGCAACCTCTAAGCTAACAGCTCCATCAATCAGAAACAAGCAGCTACGTAGATATCTTCATTAGCAGTAAATATACTCTAAGTTTGCACAACAAACGCCACATCGTTAACAAGTTGAACAACGATAAACTCCAAGTATTTAAGTGAGTCGCAATGTTTTGTTATCCAAGTGGTAAAATGCCAGTTATAACTGAGCCCCCACTCCCTTAACCAACAGGCTCATAAGCCCTTCCGTTTACTAACGAAACAAACCTCCGATTATAGCTCTCTTCCCTGATATAAGCACTCCACATCCAACTTTCCCAAATGAACTTACTAACGTCCTCACAGAACACTGCTCTTTAAATTCAAATGGCAATACGATGGCAAACGGCGTGCAAATTAAGATGTTTATTCATAGTTCTTTCCTATATCGTATCGCTAATCACAGGATATGAGCCACTTCCTGTAGCTCACTTGCAAACGGTTTTTCACATCCCTTATATTTCCCTTGAATATAACCTCCTCCAGTTATAATCCCATCTAAGCCCCTGTGTAATACACACACCGGCACAAATGTTGGCCACTCAAATGGTGCTGGCTTCTGCTTAAAGAAAAATTCCTCTGGAGTGTAGAAGTCGATTCCAATATTTTCTGCAAACTTGATCAGCATATAACACAGTGAATACCACATACTTACAATAATTTTGCTGCAGTATAAGAGAGGATGAACTGTAAGAGACTTCATCGCACATACACGGTCCATTCACAAGGTAATCCCTCAAAAGTTATTTTAAGATTACTTCTGGTTTCAGAAGTACAGTGTGGCACTAAATTTTTGCGGGAGTTTATTTTTGCGAATCGGCGATATTTTGTAATTTGCGGGAACCAATTTTTGCGATTGTAAAAGACTTGTTTTTCTTCCTGGGTATCAATTTTTGCGATTTTCGCGAAGTCGCGTTTAATTGAAACATAGATTAAAATTACAACATTTCCGCATTTTTAAATTTCAGTAAACTGCATGTAATTAAAGAGTGAAACAACATGTAGAGATGTTAGACACAGTAATCCAGTAATCAGTGTCATTCTATCACAATTACATCGGGCTCTTGTGTGGAATGGTAGATGTTCTTCTCAATGGAGTACCTTTCGGACGATTCTTTCCTGTTAACCTTTTTTTATTTGTGAACGTTTTGTTTCTCATTTCATCGCTTTGTTTCTGACTGAAAGAGACGTTTTAAATAAATGGCAGCACCAAGATTCTACTTGTGTTGTTTGCATGTATAATTTCGCCAGTGGAGAAAATTTTTGAGGAGGAAATTTTTGTGGGAATTTTTTTTTTTTTTTTTTTGCGGGAACTTTTTTTTTGCGAATCGTGGAAAAAACCGCAAAATTCGCAAAAAGTAGAACCCACAAAAATTTAATGCCACACGGTAGTGTCTAGAAATAGCCAATCCCTTGACACGGAGTTTGGTCACGTGGACAGTCCAAGGGACTTAACACACATTTTTATCCTCCACATAAACATCTACTCAACGCACGCGGTAACTTTATCCGCGGGAGAGCTGGGTACCATGTCTAAATATAACTTGGGAGGGATTAACTTAAAAATGAGATCAATACGGAACTCTCTCAACTTACATTTTCTCTTGCTATAGCATCTTAATTGAAAAAGATTTTCAGAATTTGCGATTATTACGGAAACAAGATGGGATTGGAGGAAAAAATACTTGCCATCTGGACAAAAGAGATTTCAATATCATTAGTATATGCATTCATTAAGCTGTGAATTAAATTGTTATATATTTATCACGGTGAAGTAAAATCCCGTTCTACAGATTGAGACTCGTTGGTTGTAAGCCCTTAGACTGACAAGATTGGAGAGACCTGGTTTCAAAATTAGTAACATTTTACGATTTCTCTTTAGTCTAATGAAAGAACAGCCAAATCTTTCATTACTTTTGCAACAGAAAATATTTCATGTCTTCGAAAAGTGCAAACAAACATAGCTGATTTAATGCTGCTTTTGGTTTTTCCCATCTGCACAAATCAATTCATAACCTCTGAAAAAAGTTGTTTCCATCAATTACCAAATGTTAACAAGTTGTTAGATGCTAAAGATTAATAACAAGTTAACCTACTGCTCTGTCACTACACGAGAAGTCCTTCTTTTTCCCTGGACCCCAGCCTGCTGCTCGACCAGCTGCATCTAAATACAATACAATCATAATGATTCAAAGACTGGAAAGTGAAGTAGTCTTCACATAAAAGTGAAGTGAAGTAG